TATTATTATCCCGCAGTTTATGGAACCCGAAGCTTTATTTCGTGTTCACAAGAGTCCGCCACTGGCTGGACTCCATCCTAAGCCAGATGAATCCAGGCGGTACTTTTGCATGCGACGCCATATGGTCTGGCAGATATGCGTCGACGTTTCAAAGGAACCTGGTACTGCTATCTTCACTGTAGAAAGATTTTCTACGTCGAAGATTAATGGGTGAAATTACAGTTAACTACAGAGAAGAAGAAGAGGAAGAAGAAGAAGAAGAAGGAGAAGAAGAAACATTCTGGTTACGTGAAATTCTAGGAAGTGACAGCGATTTCTATATGCATCATGTGCTATATTATTAAAAGACGCTGCATTATGCCCACAGAATTTGTATGTGAGAATACGAGTGTTATTTATAAGTTCAGTGCTATCTTATTGAGACCTGGTCACTGTCAAGATCGGATGAAAGACTGTTAACTATATTTGAAAGGAGGATCTTGAGATATATCTTTGGACCAGTGGAAGAAAATGGAATATGGAGGAAGAGGTATAACCATGAGCTACACAAACTATTTAATGAACCAGACATTATTGGATTTATAAAGGTGAAAATGCTTGAATGGGCTGGACACACAATACGTGCCGGCGAGAACAGAACCATCAAGAAAATGCTTAACACCAAACCAGAAGGAAATAGGAGAGTGGGAAGACCAAGGTTAAGATGGGAAGAATGTGTGTGGCAGGACATAAGAATTTTGGGTGTAAAGAACTGGAGGAATGTAGCATCGAATTGAAAAGAATGGCGAGCAATCCTGAGGAAGGCTAGGGCTCGAAAGGGGCTGTCGTGCCAGTGATGATGATGATGATGATGAACAGTGTGATTCTCATAATAAATAATGATTTCCCGAAACAGCAATAACTGACTGAGCTTTATACTGAAGTCGCTGTGTTTTCTGTGGGGCAAGAACTGAACTTTTAATATGGATACGATTGCCTCGGTAGACAGTTCTCCCAAATAGCACAATCCAGTTGGACTTTATACTGGGGACACTGTGTTTTCTGTGAGGTAAGAACTAATCTTTTAAATATTATGCACATTAATGTCAGGCTTCAAATGGTGTACCATGCGTTGTACATGCGGAAGAAGCTTTTGGTATGTTTCATAAAATTTGATCCACGCAAACAAAGATTAATTCAGAAGTGACGGTATGTGAACAGACCTCGTATTGGAGAACCGAATGAGTGGATTGCTTGCCCAGAGGCGCTGGTGGTGGCTCCTGGTGGAGGGAATGCGGAAGCAAGAAGCGAGAAACTTTTTCCTCATAATTCTTGTAGACTTACATGCACAGTTATAAAAGGCAGTCTTACTGCCGGTGCGTATAGACACAAAACCCAGTACAATGGTTTATACTGCGCCATCTGGTAGGCATATCTGATACTAAGTGACATGAATTCCTTATAAGGAGAATTATAACCCGCGCCCTACCTACTCTTCGTACGCAATTGGTCATGATTTCGACATTTCCTTTTACGTATCTGGTATTTGGGACCGCAACTAGAAACTACTAAGGGGTGTCAATTCTATCCACATCGGTTAACTTTAGAGGAGGCTCGACCGCCTCTGTGGTCTAGTGGCCACAGTTCCTGGCTACAGATCCAGAGGTCCCGGGTTCGATTCCCGACGCTCCCAGATTTTCTGAGTAGTAGTGGGTCTGCNCCTGGCTACAGATCCAGAGGTCCGGGTTCGGTTCCCGGCGCTATCAGATTTTTTTCCTGAGAAGTAGTGGGTCTGCAAAGGGGTCCACTCAGCCTCGTGAGGATAACTGAGGAGCTATTTCAAGGAAATAGCGGCTCCGGTCTAGAAAACCGAGATTAACGGCCGTGGGGATTCGTTGCGCTGACCACGCGATACTCTCTATCCGCTAAAGGTTGCACTAACTTCGCTGACAATCGGTGGTCGCTCGGTCGGTATAGTTCGTTTGCGGACTCAAGCCACGGAATCTGTATAATTTTTGTATCGTGTGTTCCATAGAGTAAAAATTTTCACTCTTAACTGATTTAATGGAAACAAGAAATGATGTAGGAACTTAACCTACGAAATTGAAATCATAATAACATCGCGACATCTTCCGAGCTGACTGAGGAACGTGCCAACACTACAGAAATGCAAGTCAAGTTCCCATGACAACCCACAAAATGTACGGGAACTTATGGTTTTGTAGCATTTGCTAGAATATATAACCAAGTGGCTTTACTTCAATGTTTCAACACAATTTTTGTACTGTGTCGGGTTGTTGAAAAAATTTCACATATATTCTGCTACAGTTGCACTTCCGGTGTCACATGAAGTGGGCCTCTCAACCGGAAGGAAGTACAGTGGAACCTTGATCTTCGAACACAGTCCGTTCCAGGAGACGGTTCGACTTTCGAGTTAAATTTCCCCATTTGAAATAATGTAATTTGAATTAATCCGTTCCAGACCCCCCAAAATTTACCCAATATGAAACATTTTAAGTGCCTATTTCAAAATATCATATTGGTAAATAATGATAAAACAAGTATATTTAATTTCAATAATTGAATGTTTTTATTTATACTAGTACATACATAAAATATTGTATAATAATCAATCAATAATATTAGTGGGAGGGATATTACTGATCACTAGAAGATGAATTGCCGGTCACGGTAGCCGAGCGGTCTAAGGCATGCACTGTCTTCGCTCGCTCGGAAACCGGGATCGTGGGTTCGAATCCCACTCAGGGCATGGATGTTTAGTTTGTGTGTGTGTGTGTGCGTTTTTCTGTGTTTGTGTACCGGTAGAGGCCTTGTGACGAGCTGATCACCCGCCCAAGGAGTCCTACCGAATGTGTAAGATCTAGAAAAACCGAAGTGAACGGAGAAGTTCGTGGAGGTAGGCCTAGGCCCACTGGGGCTGTAGTGTCAAGGGGAAAAACTGCGATATTCTGACGCCGCTTCTCTGCAAGGCATGACGACCACGTGGCTCTTTGTTCAACTTTCAGTGTTTGTTCGAGTTTCAGTTTGTTCGAACATCAAATCGTTCAAAGTTCGAGGGTCCACTGTACCACAGTTCCGCACGTAGCCATTCAAACTTATGTGCAAGGGATCACGTGACGGGTCCCGCATATGGTTATCTGAATATTTTTTAAATATGGTCCCCATTTTATTTTAACCCGGGTCGGTTAACTGACTTCTTTAATCTGAGTTTCATTTAGGCAGAAGTAATCAAGGACAATGACTCGCCTTAACCTCCTGACACACACATACACTATAGTTTCCGAAACATCGACAACATATTTCTACTTTCGTGCTTCCAAAATGGGAATCTTAGCAAACTCCATGGAGACTTCTTCTTGAGAAGTTGTTAGTTGCTTCTCAAGATATTCCCAGTCTTTTGTGGAATCCGACTGTTTATTGCCCTGTTCACTGCTGGAATCTCTCCTCAGTCAACTTAGTTCAGTCAGCACGGTCAACACCCTTCAACTGTATTTCTCTAACATCAATTTTAATATCATATTCCCATCGACGCTTAGGTCTTCTAAGTGATTTCTTCCCTTCAGGTTTTCCTACCAAATCTGTAGTAATTTCTGATCTCTTCCATATGCTACAAGCCTCTCATGTCTCATGTTTCATTTGAACATCATAGTTATGTTTGATGAAGAGTATAAACCTTCCTCCAAACTCCTGTTACGTTCTTTCCCTTTGTTTCAAAAGTTAAGGCGGAAATCTTGCGAGCGGTTAAGAACGTGGACGATAGCTCAGTCGGTATGTCAGGTACACATAACTCAGCTGCGACTAGCATAGTACTGAGTCTGAGTCTGAGTCTTATGTGACGACCGAAGGTCAGTCTGCCAGTCTGTCTTGGAATAAAACACCCATCTGGGGCTTACAACCAGGTTTTTATTACCGCCAGACAGTTGCGGGTTTGTTGATGTGGGGCGCTCTCTCTGACGAGAGGACGGGTCTGTCGTTTACAATTGTTACTGGCATTGCCAGCGCAGTCATTCTCGGGTCCTAGTCCCTTTGGGCTTGTGACCATATTTTACTGTCTCAGATTCGAGACTTCCCTTTCCGTTGCCTGCTACGACTCGCAGGGTCACGGTGGAGGTATTCGACCCCGCCTCCACACGGGGGACTCAACTACGACTCACGGCTCGTTCCTTATATAACTGTTAGGTTAGGTTGTGATAGAAGACACCACCTTGAAGGGTTCTGTTCTTTGAGATCGTGTTGTGTCTGAAACCATTGTAATTACCATGGTAACCAAACTGCTGCCATGTATCTGTTTACAGAGTAACCCTCGGAACGTGTGTAGCCAGTCGTTACCTAGCATTGGCCGCCTTTTCTGACTTCACTGCGGGAACATTGTTTACCCAGCCGTTGGCTGGCAATGGACGTTTGCTTCGACTTCGATATTCTGGCTTCCAGCCATCACGTCACATTATGAACACACACCCACATGTTAGTCTGCCAATGTACTCTGTCCTGAGTGAATTCAGTCCAGCTCATGCCAGAGCCTATTTCTAAGGTCCGGTTTAATATGTCTCAAGTGGGCTCATATTAGTTTTCCACTTCAGAATCATTTTTTTTCTTATCTACTTCTATTTAAGTATCCTTTTAGCTTTATCGTATTGTTACTTCATAGTGACATTCTTTGAATCTTCTCCCTCTTCTTGCTCCCTTGGGTTATTCTCTTAGTCTCCCTCCTCCACCTTCTTATTGTTTTTTCTCTCTTCTTTCATGTCCTATTCATTGCTTTTTCCATCACCAACTTTTCTCTACTTTTTACTGTCCTGCATTATCTCACTTTTAGACTAATACTAGCATTACTTTGACTACTACTACTATTTTTTCCTCTTTCTTCTCTCCATGTACATCTATCTTATTGTTCTTAACATTTCCTTCCTCCATCTCCTCTTCCCCTTCTTTAATTACATGACCTGCTAAAATATGAAAGCGTTAAATAATATTTAATGTTGATTTCTTATTGTTTTCAGGACGAATAAGTACCTGCAAAAATCTTCCATCACTCGCGTCTGTGCTGTGGGTGGATTCTTCATCTCTATCCCTGTATTTCTTACAGGTGAGCTAAGTAGGAAGCCTTACGGTTTGTGATTATATATATACTCGTATGGGAGATTGACACTCCTGAGAGTCGAGGCATTGTACGTGGAAAAACTTGATTGTCACAGGGTCAAGGGCACGTTTGTCTGAAGTGCCTGTCCATATTCACATTACAATGAAGCACATTGAGATGTTACTTAAGTTACCAGTCTCTCAGGTAATAGAACATACAGCTCAATGGGTACTGTATTACAAAGGATGGAATGTACTGTTACATTTCTTGTTCCCATGATCAAGATATCTTGCTCAAAAAGCACTGACCTTTAATACAGATGATTTATTTGATGTCTGAGATGATCAGCAAAAGAGAGGTCTCCTGCCATCTCTCAACAGTTAGAGCCAACTATTCATGGATTTATAACGGTAAAGATTATGTTACTGTGCAGGACACGGTAACAAAAGGAGGTTTCTTTAAATAAAATGTACAGGAAAATATGTATGGCAATTACTTTCCTATAAGCATTTCTGTTTATGTCATAAGGATAGCAAGAACTAAATAATTATATAACTGATGGTCATGTATATGTAGTACAGAATCTCCTTACGTTAAATTTCCCATGTGGAGCTCCAAGGGTTCAATAGCTGTCGCTTCAAGTCAGAAACTAATATAGATTTTTACATGTCCACTATAGTCTTGTTTTATATCATATAAAAATATTACTTTCATAAAAGCAGCACACTTTTCAAAGGCATGCACAACATTTCAGAATCCAACTTTAGGTGGTGCTCATATCTCACTTGCCTCAGGGGGTCATACTGGACCCTTGCTGGTATTACTGATATTATGAAATTAAAAAATAAATGCACAGATAAAGCTATCCCTGTTACAGGCCATGGAGGCCCATAGGGTTGTGAGACATTGAGGATCCCACATTTTCTGGACAGTTTGCCCACAGATGGCTGTGAGGCTATCAGCCTCACATGCAAGTCACCATTTACCCTCTGGAAGATTCCTGGTACTCCTTTATGTTGGAGGCTGAGTTGAGCCCCAGGGCCACAGTGCAGCTGGAAAGATTAGGTCATTTGAAAAATCCAGTTACCTCATGGCAAATCAAACCTGTGACCTGCTGGCTTGAGACATAGTGCCTCAAATAACTACATTACCGCATGCCCCAATTAAAAAATAAAAACATAAAAGTGGTATGATATTTCATGAGGGTCCTTTGGGTGGGTCAAAAGTTATTTGGGGGCAGATGGAAACAACGCCATAAGCATAATTTCTTTATAACACAAGGAACATGGAAACCAGAAGCAAATTACAGAACGTGGGAATCATTAAGAACTTCACCCATGAGTGGGTTACACTTGTTCTTCATTTCTGAGAAGTCTAGGATTCAATTCTCGGTCTGCAGACTAACTCTCCTGAGTGAAGTTTTCATGATTCTACCCAGTCCTACCCAGAAAATCCCTGGTTAGTACCCCAAATTAGTAAACAAATGATTCCTTCCAAATCATTTTCAACTTATTCACCATAATCCTATAATTCTACACTACACAGCCTGAGGTACAGACAGCATCATTAAATAAACCACAAATAAATTAATAAATAAACATTATCATCATCTTCATCATCATCAGTGGGGTGAGACTGAGTCCACATGGTACTGTGGCCACTACTGGCATATTGTACCAGCCCCAGATGACGGTGATGGTGATTGTGGAGCAGTCGGTGAAATGAAGATTGGCAGGGGAAACTGAAGTACCATTCTGTCCACCACAAACCCCACATGACCTGACCCAGACTTGAACCCAACAATAAATAAACATACTATCTGATTCACAATTAAAAACTCAGGAGTTTATCCACAGTTTGTATTTATGGGTTTTGTGTAATTCTCAGAATAAACAGTGATTATTTCTCTAAGCAGAATTGACTGACTGGTCCTTGTATGAAGATACGTTTTTTTTTAAATGTTATTAAATGAAATGTAGCCCTAATGCAGACCTTCCAATGTTTATATCAAAATTCTGCCCTCATACAGTAAAGATCCTGCTTAGCTTCTTCCCTTTGCTGCATAATCACACAACAGTCCACTTCCCAATCACTTTGCCTTTTTTCTAAGCTACCAGAAGGATGTGTGGGCATTGCCTGGAAACCTTTAAAGCCAGAAATTTTCTATCATTTTCTCCTTGTAGAAATGTAGTGTCTCTTATTCCTCCTTCTCTCATCTCCATCTTCTTCAGGGTTCAAACCGTTAAACAAACCACATATGAATTAAAAGTAGATCTCAGGTACTGAACTATGTAGTGTTCAGTTACAATGTGTTAGTGATTCTGACTCAGTAACAGTTGTCTTTAGAAATGTACCCATTTATCTTAGAGATTTGCTTTTTGTGTTCTACAGGCATCATTCTGTATACGTTTATCCAGTTTCATTCCACTCCAGCCATTGTGACCAGTGTGTTTATTGGCCTGGGTATCATCTTCTGTGGATGTGCGATGGTCCACAATGTCTTTATCTGGCAGAAGGTGATGACGTTCTCCCATTAATTACCTTCTTTTCACAAATAACGTTGTTTGTTTTAAACACACTTTATTGTTTGAGGAACCCAGTAATATCCTAGAGGGGGTTACATAAACCTCACAACAGGGAATAATAAGTTGACAAAATATCATAAAATACAATGCAATTAATGTAAATGAATGTAAGAAGTAACAAAGTGCAATTAAAGTAAGAATTCTATATTGATTTGCTTTATCTTGATTTTGTTTGAGGACTCCTGCCAAATAACATTGTCTGTGAGAGTCACTTGCTCTGTCCAAACTGCCATACCAAGAGCAGAAGTTTGTGCTTAGACTTTGATAGTATTTCATCTTTTCATCAACAGATGGCAGCCCCCATGCTCTTCTATGACCAAAAAAGAGAATTTTATTTATCAATAAAAGTCACAGATCTGTAACTAGGGTAACATTGTGACATCTGGGACTTTCTGATACTTAAATACAGGTGTAAGGGCAGGCACAGTGACATTTAAAGAATTTTCAGGGCATTATAAGTTTTTACTCTGTTGCTTCACCTATTTTCACATATGTCTTTGCATATGACTGTCATGTATATTCCTTACAGGAGAAAACCAACGCAGTCCGGGCACTGGCTCAGCAACACCGTGAACGAGAGCAGCAGCAACAATCTTTAAGGCAGCCAACACCACCTACACCTGTAGACTTGAACAAACAAGCAGCATGTCACCCTCGGGATGCAAGTGGCAGTGTAAGCCCTGGGGTGCCAGCTGCGACTCTTGATCTTAGCTCTGTCACAACTGCTGCTTCACCACATGAACTGTCTACATTGGTGTGACAAGTGACATTCACAAATACATAAAAGAATTTCTACCATGGCTGCCATGTTACTGCATCATTCTTAAAATGCCAGTAAAACTGATACAAACTTTCATGCACATTAAAATCAGTCATCATGAACCAGAGAAGTGGATTTTAATGGGGAAGTAAATAAAACATCAATCAAACTCATAATTAATATAAAAAAGAAAAATATGATGCTTCTTTATGATAGAGCCTATAAAATATACATTTCCTCTGTGAAAGTACTTCTAATAGGAAGTGGGGGAAAAATAAACAAAATTTCCCTTTAAATAAAATTTGTTTTCTCACATGAGTGAACGTTAAGATTATGGTTTTCTTAGGTGATCCCATATAGTTGGCAGATTGGTACCAGGAATTTGGAAGAACTCGCTGCCTCCATTTCAGACTAGAAAAGAGTGAAAATTGAGATAGCAGTTCCCTCTAAACAGATATTACCTAACTATCATACATGGCATCACATATTAGAAGACTATAATCTTTTTCTTTTAAAATGTGTGTAATGAATCAAAACCATGTTCCAGGCATGGCTTTTGAACCAGAGCATTTCTTAACAGACAAAAGTCTTGGTATCAAGGTTCAATAACACAGTACACTGCCTTCCTGTTAGCTTGCAATAATTATAAAAAACATGAACACTAAATTCAGCTACATTTGAATACTGGATTATTTTATGAATTGATTTAATAAAAGTTATTGTTATGTACTTCTGTCTGGGAGAAATGTGGGTAATTATAAACAGCTGGAAGGAATGGAAGAAACAGTGTCTTTTGTTCATCTTCATTTGTCACAGGTTTCTTGACCTACCTGGATCCAAGACTTCAAAAACTAATCAAACCTTTCTGTTTAAAGATCATTCTAAATTGNAATTATAAACAGCTGGAAGGAATGGAAGAAACAGTGTCTTTTGTTCTTCATCTTCATTTGTCACAGGTTTCTTGACCTGCCTGGATCCAAGACTTCAAAAACTAATCAAACCTTTCTGTTTATAGATCATTCTAAATTTTTTATCCTTTCTGTGCTTTAGTATTTATTGCACAAGTGTTTCATCTCCTGTTACTCAAATGTGATCAATCCAATTACATGTCACATCTTCAACCGTCTTTCTCAGTTTTTTACCTATGTAAATCAGTATAGAACCCTTAACTGTTCACTTCACTGACCGCATGTAAAGAAATTTTCCTTGACATCTGTAGGTGCTATAAAATGTAAATCAAAAAACAGTTTCACACTAAGGACTATCACTGTGTGCTTATTTCTTTGGGCTGAGGAAATGATAAATATTTTCCATGTTAAAGTTTAAGTAGCAAAGAATTAATTGACACTGTTATATACTTGCATATAGCAACACTAAATCCAAAATATAGTTATGTGCTGTACGTAGCCATAAATAGTTTGGCTGTTTAATGCAGAATAAAATATCCAGGTGATGCCTCACACACATTGCAGAATCCTTCCACAACAGACATATGAAATCTGTACAGTATTTTGGTGTCAATATGCGAAATATAGGGATATACTACAAACCATGAGTGATGGAGACAAACAAATGGATTTTTTTATAATGCTATATAACACACGATGAGTGATATCCAGTTTTCTGTTTTATATATAGTGAATCAAAATAAAATGAAAACAAAACATTCTGTGACAAAAAAAATTCAATGAAAAGACAGAATGTTCCTGTACAGTAATATGATCTGGACATATGTAGATTATGAGCACTACTGTATTTATGAAAATTCTGCACAAACTACCTTTGGAAATATGTTAAATAAAACATTTTTCTTTTACTTTCTGTTAATCTCATATTTAAATTTTATATCTTGTATAAAGGGCATACAGCTTTTAATGACTAAACAAGTTAGGTCTAGCATTAATGCTTCCAACTTGTATTTTGGAGGGGATAAGATGGAATTTCAGTCAGAATACTGCCTATCCTGAGTTTCTTTTGTGTGTGTGGTTTTCAACAGTCCCTCTAGAGTTGCATCCTAGATTAAGCCATGATCCCTTACTTCCCCATCCTTTCCAATTCATTATTCATGACCCTATAATTTCATGCTATATAGCTATAAGTTACTGACAGTGTGTCATTAAATAAACTACAAAGAAATAAAAAACAGACCCTTCCTCAATCTGCATTAACAAAAAATTTCTTTTGTGGCATGGATGTAGTTATTCTACCTAGGATGGTGAAGTAAAACATCTCTATCAAAACACTACTATAGCGCTGAAATAAATACAAGAGGATATAAAATGGAGGACTGAATTCATCTGGTTTGGGAGAAGGTACAGTGGCAGATCTTGTGAATGTGACAATGAGCCTTCAAGTTCCATAAAAGGTGGTAATTTCTTGATCAACTGAGTGTCAGCTTCTCAAGGCCTCTGCTCCATGCAGTTAGTACTAATTTCTGTTTGAGGCTGAGTCGACTCCAGGGCTATAGTGTGGCTGGAAGGATTGGGTTGGTTGAAGAATTCAATGATCTCCTTGGGAATAGAATCTGTAACCTTCCAGTTTGTAGCATAGTGCCTCAACCAACTGCACTACTGCATGCTCCTGTTAGTACTAAGGTTAAAGAGAAATATATCAAATGGAAACAAGTTCAGGCAACACAGATTCAATTATAAGCTCATTTTGCTATTCATGACAGCTGGAACAAAGCAAATTTTGGACTCGAGATGGAACGGAATGAAATGCACAGCATAACTTCAGGAATGAATTCCTCATATGTAGATAATATGAGGGTTGTACTGAAAGTCATAAGCAACAGTTTTTTGTAAAGTAACATGCTTTATTATTGACAAACCAATTACACCACCTCAATCTACAGACCTTTCTTTATTTTTCCACATAATCACCACTTCTTTGTACACATTTCTCCCAGCGTTCTGGGAGTTTGAAAATTCCCCTTCTGTAAAATTCTGTTCCAACCATCCGAAGACACTGACACACTGCTTTCTGAATTGTCTCCCTTGTCTCAAAATGTTGTCCATGCAGCTGATCCTTCACAAATCCGAAAAGATGGTAGTCAGAGAGTGCCAGATCAGGGCTATAGGAGGGGTGTGGAAGAACTTCCCACCCCATCTTTGCAATTGCTTCCAATGTGACCTCTGTGGTCTTCGGTCAATAACTGCAGGACCCAACGAGCACAAACTTTCCTATAGCCCAAGCTTTCAATCATCTCCTGTACTGCACTGTGCCCTATTCCAAGTTTTTGGGCTACTTTGTCCACAGTCACACACCTATCATCTTGAATAATCTCATCCACTCTTTCCTTCTTGCGTTCAGTTGAGGTTGTTCGAGGACGACCGCTCCAAGGCTCATCTTTGATGCTGGTGTTCCCATCTTTAAAATTTTTCACCCATTTTCGAACACTGCTCGCATGCATGCACGCACTTCCATATGCACGCTGAATTCAGAAAGCAGTGTGTCAGTGCCTTTGGATGGCTGGAATGGAATTTTACAGAAGGGAAATTTTCAAACTCCCAGAAGGCTGGGAGAAATGTGTACAAAGAAGTGGCGATTATGTGGAAAAATAAAGAAAGGTCTAGATTGAGGTGGTGTATTTGGTTTTTCAATAATAAAGCATGTTACTTTACAAAAAAATTGTTGCTCACGACTTTCAGTATGATGTACGCAAAAATAGTTTATAGCATGAGAGTACACAATGAAGAAGGAATCTATGATAAACATTAATTTTCTATAGTATTAAAGAGACCTGAACTCAAATGCTACTACAAAGTCATTCTTTAACATTTTCTCATACTTCTTTTTGTCCAACTTCACTTCTAACAGCCATAAATAAATTTGGGTGGGGAATATGAGAAAACAAAAAACTTCTGCCATCTGTTGTTCTAAGTGAACTTCTAAAAGAGACCAATCTTATTCTTTTGTGGTCTCTCGCTGTTAATGCTGATTATTTACTGGGATCTCTGCATCAAATGGATGTGCAGAATGTTTCTGGTGCAAGATCCAAGAGAAAAAGCAACATTACTACAGTAACTGTCAAAGAATGTATAAAACCAAGATACAACACTCGGTATGCAATCATGTGGTGGTAAATTCAAAAGTTGGTGGTGGATATTGCTTCTGACTGTGGAACTGTACTAGAAAATTACAATGTTGGAAACCTTTCAACAGAAGACAGGGTAGGATTAATACAGTATTATAACGGTAGCATTGTCAGATACATATATACCATGGCTTAATTAAGTGGCAGATGTTCCTAAATGTTGGTAGGAAGGTCTGTCTTCAGTAATACAAACACGATAACTGTATTAAATCTTGTAGGAGAAACTACAGCAGCAAGAATCAACAGAGGTTTCTCACACTGTAAATGAAGATACATGAAAGAGATCTCAGTCTGCTACACATACAGCTGCTATTAAAAATATATCGTATATCATTTTTATTACATTACTATAATTACTGATTCAGCCAAAACTACATTTGGCATGTTGTTTACATAGTGTTGGTTTTTTATTATTGTCTAGAAAATATCAAATTGGCAATTATAGAATAACATACACACAATATAAAATCAGAACTTTATTCAGGTCCACCACTTCATCATTCATGAACATATCACTAACTTTGTGTACAAATACAGTTACAACACACAAGACATTTTCACTTACATGCTTAATTTTATGTAACTTGTATGAAGTTTTCCTTATAAAATAACCTCAAAATTACATTAAATCTAACAATACAAGAAAAATCAAACCAGATCTGCAGTGGTTTCAATGAAATATCCCAAGCTGACGTAGCTGGTACACGGCAAGCGAACAGTTGATGTAACAGTGAGGAGGTTAAGATGGATGAGCAGGATCCACCTTCTGTCTATCATTTTTCAAGAAGAGATCAGGACTGACTGATTGACTTTCCTATTTCATACTCAGGAGATCATGACTTCAAGTCCAGGCCTGGATGCTGGTTATTCTGGCTATGGTTTCTTCATGTTTTTTTCTCAGCCCCTTCTGGAAAATGCTTGGATAATACCTTCAAATTAGCTCAACTACTTGCACCCCTTTCACAGTTCAATACCGAGGAATATGTTAATTGACACACAAGATATGCACTTAAGAAATCACTGTCATAAACTAAGAAGTAAATGTATTCATCTTTGAATAAAAAAGACAAATGTATTGTAATTGTTCAAAAAGTAAGGATACACCAAAGGTGTACTGTAATCACTTCAGTAATAACAGTTTAAGTTTATTTTAAGAAAAAATTATATTTGTTGTTGATTAGAAGCAGTGCTCAGTGTTATTAGATAAGATTGGATTAGATTGTCCAGTCACTGGAATTATATCTTTCTATGAGTTCCAAATGAGTATGTACCCCTCATCAGCACCTAAAATGTTGCATTTGAGCTAAGAAGATCAGACAATGGAAGGCATAATGATGCTGCAGAAAAACTGTAAATTGCATCTCCAGATGTAAACCAGTGTCCTAAAGAGACTCCTTCACCCAAATAAAATATAACATTGGGATAAATGTTGGAAATATACATGCTATGGTAACACCTCCAACCCACACACTTTTTTTTGATAGTTTTTCTAACATGTGGGACTGGCTTACTACCTTCATATCCATATGTTTGAAATTCATTAGAATTCTTTCTCAATCCACAGCTAAGTAATTAGAATGTACCTACAACCACCTCACTACCTATATACTCGTATTACACACATCAGACACCTTACAGGAAAGTTCTGTAATGTTCCTGCATCAACATCAGCAATTCTCTTGCAGCTTCAAACATCCACAGGTAGCTTAAAGGTATTTAGCAATTTTTCCGCTCTTGCCACTAAGAGTTTATTCCCTGCCATGCGTATGCCTTGAAGTGCAGACACCGCTATTTCTGCTTCGTACTCATTCTTCACCCAGAGATGACAAAATGGTCTGAAACATATTACAAGGTTAATATGTTGCAACAACTTAAACTCATATAAATCACACAGAAATAACTTTAATTCTGTGAGGCTTAGGGTCCACACAGCAGTAAATATGAGGTGTACCACCTTCTGGTATGTGCAACCATGTAATATAGTAGAAGTTCTCTGATGTGTTAGAGGAACATTCTGCCTCCATCCTCAGGGTTAAATTTTAAGATAAGCATGCAAGCATGAAGTCACATCCCAGAAGGTAGTATTCATTTTACTTTATTTTAAACTTCCATGTCATTTCCCAAGACAAAGTATGCATATGTAAGTAACTTTTCTGGCAAAACATGGGAAATCAGCACACACATGAATGTAATAATGTTAATTTGGTGTCTTATATGAAAATCACTGTCTGCAAGTTGTTACCTCTTTTTCTTTAAGGAACATAAAAGACAAGTGTATTTAAAAAAATGTCATAATATTCATGTAAAAAATAATTTTTAACAGATGAAACAGATCACAGAACTGATACAAATTTTTGAATGCCATTAAGCAATATTTACCTAGGTGTAAATTAATTACTCATCAATTTAAAGACAATACTTAGAGCTATGGTGACACTACTTGCCAGACATTTCTTCTCAATGAAAGTAAAACTACCCATGTCACTGTAGTTGTTCCACACCAGCCAGCTTACTATCACGTAACATACAAGATATAGAGAATACTGTCCCTTATGTCAGTGGTTCTCAACCTTTGTCAGATGGTGGCCCAGTAAATTCTTTTTTCTATTAGACAAGAGCCCAGTATACAGCCGTGGCCCGGCAGTTGAGAAACACTGCCTTATATTACTTAGCAAACAGACAAGATACCGTTTACTGTTTGACATCCATGCAGATATCAAAGACTGAGACAGAAAATTAAGAAATAAATTCAAGGATTTTCCCAATCAGCTTTTAATACATTACTTTCTATTACATATTTCCACCAACAACAAAATTTACTACATACAAATTAAATTTAATACATGGAAGGTGTGCATACTTACATGTTATATTTAATTCCTGTTGTCTCTATTGGTGATATATGTACTGGATTCAGTGCAAGTCTCTTAGTCAATAGCATTACATCATGCAGGTTGACTGATGGAGGAAGATTGGAAATAATAATGTCTTTCCCATAAACTATTGGTCTTTCACCTAAACAAACAAACATAATACTCATACATATGAATACAACTGTAGAACTATGTATGGTATTACCCTGATTCATTGTGTATCTTATATTCTCTTTCTGTACTGATAACAATAACATACAGATTACTGTTAATGCCACATTCAATTAAATATTTTAAAAGAATCCACAATCACCATCACTCACTCTGATGCGTTAACTCACAAATCTGGGTATTTAGATGAAGTATCAGCAACTTTCCAGCACTAGCCACTCAGTAGCGATACTCTTAAAATAGCATACCAACATAATATATCTCTAAAGGCAAACGGGTGTAGCAGCAATGCTTGAGACTTTTATTAAGGCTGTTTTTTCAGCTGTGAGATTGAGAAATTGATCATAAATAAAAAATTTGGAAGACTGTGACAGTGGCAAATTTTAAGCTTCAGCAGAATCTCTATTATCTGTGATAACTGGGGGGAGTACTACTGTAGATAATTTAAAAAAGAAGGTAATCCACTACAGGGGCCAGGATAGCTCAGTTGGTATAGTGAGGTTCAATTCCTGGCAAGGGCAAGAGATTTTGTTTCCTCCACAACACCCAGAATCCTGTCCAATGGGTATCAGTTGCTGTTTCCCCAGTGATAAGCAGCAGAGGCATAAAGGTGACCACTAACCTCCACCCAGTACCAAGGTCAAGAATGGCAAAGCTATACCTCCACTCCCCCATATGTCTTCATGGTGAGGTGATTAATTACTTAAGCATATGGACAACTTTACCCTAGGTAATCCACTATTCCATTCGTATTTGCCCTCATAAAAACCTTGCTACATAAAAACATTAAACAATACATTTATTTGAACAAGTCTTCGTAATCATATTTTATTTGGTGCACAAGTATGTAAGTCATGTCATCTTCAAATAAAATCTGCATTTTCATAAAAAAACATGATAAAAATCAACACAATTTATTTGCAACAAGTTTCTGTTATTTTGCATGTTTTTCTGCAACTGAGATGAAAGCAAGGTTGCCAATGGCCGCACCATAACTCAAGCAGTTAGTTGCTGGCTTCCCACTGCGGCGGCCTGGGTTTGGTCAAGTGGAATTTGTGGTGGACACAGTGGCGCTGGGGTGGGTTTTCTCCGAGTACTTCGGTTTCCCCTGCAAATCTTCATTCCACCGAATCCTCCATCATCATAATCACCTGGGGCAGGCTACAATAGGCCAATCAGTGGCAGCCATGCCGAGTGGACCCAGTTGGACTCCACCCCCCACTAAGCGAAATTAAGGCTGTCCATTACACACAACATAGGGACTAGGGTGGAAGCATGTGGGCCGATTCATGTGGTTCAACATGTGGCCAATGTTCGTTTCTTGTGAACACAACGATGACCGTTCAGGTTTCACTAAATGCATACAGTTTCTTGGTAGAGTGATATTAGCTTTTTACTGACTTCATGCCAGCACCCTTCACTTCCCACCCTACTACCCAGATGATGCAAGCTGCTGGTTCCTCTGACGCACTGCTATCTACATACGATATTACATGATAGTTACATCACAGAAAACCTCAAATCTGAATGCACCATGGAGTTAGGCTAGCAGACAGGTCAAAACATCACTAGAAATAATCTTTAACCTACTTTTGCTATAGTAGAGTGGTTTCTATTTTCCTTTTTTGCACTTTTCACTCTCATTCATCTTTTACAGAACCATCTTCTTCATATTTACTAATTAAATCCGGTTTCTGTGATATTGGCAACACTGCAAGCTTATGTCTTGAAGACATCTTCCTGCACATATTTAAGGGCTGTGCTGTCAGCCATTAAAAACAAGGTAAGGTAGTGGTGCACAGAATGTGCTGACCCTCACCATTCTACTGTTTATTTAGGGACAAACTGACCTTCGGTGCACCAGGAGAAATAGTAAGAAACTTCAGAAAATCATGTGATGCTTTTCAGCTTGCATAATACAAGGAGGCAAGGCCTTCCCTTGTCTTCCCTGGAAGATAGTAAATGTAACTATCTTTTATGTAAACTGAAGGGTATAGAATTCCTTTGCAAAGGATCAGGGTGGTTCAGTTGTGTGTGTCCTACATAGAAAACGTATTACAAGAGCAAAGCAAAAAATATTCAGTGGTATACAGGGCAAACTTGTCAAAAGGCAAAAGTTGCACATCTGCTAACTGCATATTTCTATTTTGAGTCTAAAAGAGAGCATAACATGGGCAAATATGTTTCAGGGTGGCTTACAAACGATAATTCTCGCTGTTGGTAGCATTACATTACAAAACATTCATAACGTGACACAGTAAATAGTTAAATACATCCACAGTTCCATGGTTACTCCATGAAGCAACCAATCTGCTGGCCAAGGGCCTTCTATACTATCCTGCTTTCACCTGGACAGACTGACGAAATTACACAAATTTGATCACAACCAGGCCCACATATGAGGGCCAGCAGGGCCATTTGACTCAAACCCCTTGCCTAAGAAGGCCCCAAATATATTCTTATTTAATTTATGAAATTATAAAAACTGCATAATGAGGAGCTTCATAACTTGTACTCTTCTCCAAGTATAATTAGAATGATCAAGTAAAGGAGGATGAGGTGGGCAGGTCAAGTAGCATGAATGGAGGCGACAAGGAATGCGTATAGGATATTGGTGGGAAATCCACAAGGAAAGAGACCACCGGGAAGACCAAGGTGTAGGTGGGTGGACAATATTAGAATGGATCTTAGAGAGATAGGATGGGATGGTATGGATTGGATAGATCTGGCTCAGGATAGGGACCACTGGAGGGCTCTTGTGAACATGGTGATGAACCTTCAGGTTCCATAAAATGCTGGGAAATTCTTGAGTAGTTTCAGAATTGGCAGCTCCTCAAGAAGGGCTCAGCTCCATGAGTAAGTAAGTAAGTGATAACAAGTCAGTAAGAATGTGGGAACTCCTTTTAATTGAAATGTTGATTCATTATTCTTGGCCTTTTATTGATATTCACTTGCATCGTTTAGATGATACAAAACCTGATTTTTTTTAAAGTTTACATTAAGTAAATTCATATATTCACATGGTTTTCAGAGCAGGGTGGGGGCCCCACATTTGTGACTGGCCTGGGCTCTATTTCACCTCTCTCATGGCCTGGTCAGTACAGCTAGTTTCTATGCTGAGAATTAGGCAAGGGGAGCCCTTAATAACAAAACAGGAGAGTCAGCCATCTGTCAGCAATGTTCAGTGGCCCTGTAACTAATTCATGAAACCATTTACAAAATTTAGCCACTGTGCTCAGAACTTACCTACAAGATCTGGCATATCTTCAAAGTCAACAAGTGGTGGAGGACCATCATCAATAACATCTATTAAAGAAAGAAGTTTAAGTATAAGCATGACTTCAAGGACCATGAATCCAATACATATACAATGCAACCTGTGCTATGAATGTCTGGGCCATGCAATTTTTCTATGACCATAAAATTCAAAATACAGATCATAAATTCGCCCATACAGAAATTTTGGATAAATATTCACATCTCTCTAATCACTAAATGCAAAACAAGAAAAATTTCAGCTAAAAGCATACTTTTTGAAAACAATTACTTCACAAATCAGATGGCATATAAGCGAGCACTGATAATAATTACTAAAAATGGGGCTTCATTAAATGCAGAAAATGTAAACTGACATTTCCCTACAAATATACAACTAAAGCAGCTCACCATTACTTGTATGATTCTCCTGCGATATTTGGTCACTACTGTCTGAGTTCTTCAAATCGCCTTCATTTCCTGGATGATCAACATTTGCCTTGTTAATTGTTGTTTCTTCCTTTGTGCCTCCTTTATCATTAATATCATCTGACCCATTTGCCTCTTCATTATTTAATGGCTCTTCAGGCTCTGGAACTTCGCTTTTAATGTTATTCTGCTCATCATTCTGTTTTGGCTCTTCACAATTCTCATTTTCTGTGTGATGATTTTTGTATTTTTGCTGAAAATTTCTTTTTTTAAAATCATTCTGCATAAAATTCTGCTGAAACTTTTTCCTGGGTCCATTGTAAGTAGAACTACATTGGTTTCTTGCAAAGTTATTATTCATTGGCAATCTGAAGCTGTTAAGAAGAAGTAACTCATTACTTACTACACAAACTTTCATTTGCTAATTATTTCATACAGACCAAAGGCGGTCAAGCCAGGGCCTGCGTGAAGCAGAAATGTTTACTGGAAAGTCTCAGCAGTTCAAGGCACAGAAAGTTATGTACATACATGTACAATACACAAGCCCACACTTCTGGGTGCTAGTCTACATTGGCGACTAAAATTAGTAACAAGGAGAAAATATTTTTTCCTTTTCCTTTATCCATCTCTATTCATTGTTCCCTTTCTACATTTCTCCCTTATTGCATTCCCATCCCTGCTATTTATTTATGCTACCATCATTCCACCCTCTCCTTTAAGCTGAAATTTTCTTTTTTCCCATTTTTTCCTTTATCTCCTTCCCTCTTTTCTCTGGTATTCTTTCTCATCTTTACTACTTATACATCCTATCATCATCATTCTTCTTCTTCTATCCTAGGAATGACAGGAGACCGTTTTCAGTTTCTGTACATGAAGTCTTACCCGACAGTGGTTATATTTATATCTAAATGTTTCAACTGTCTTTTTCTTAATAAAAACCAGTTGATTTCTCACCATAGGTATTTTGTTTTCTATTCTGGATCTTAGTTTTTGGAAGTGAACATGACAATATGTATTTTCTATCATATTTAGGAAAAGCGGCCTCCGTAGTCTAGGGGTAACGTTCCCACCTCATGACTCAAGGTACGCGGGTTCAAACCCGGCGGAGGTCGTGGAATTTTTAAGGGCGGAAAAATTCAGGGAACAAGTCCTCCGGGAGGGACTTTAAGCCGTGGGTCCCGTGTCATAGATTTACAGCATGTAAAAGAACCTCATGTCTCTGGGAGACCTCTGAGCTAATTTAGGCCATTTCCCGCCCAAGCAGTTTCCAATGCCTCCGGTAGATGGGGGAGCTTAGGTACCACTGCCAGAGGAGGGACGACCTCACTGACAGAAAGGGACTAACTATTAGATACCACTGCCAGTAGAAGGCCGAAACCTCGCTGGCAGAAAGGGAACGATAGCAAGCGCCAGTACTGGTAGGGTATGGAGACAGGAGAAATTCAAAGGGGGACGCACAATAGATCAAACTGGTCGTGGTGCATGGGGTAACCCACCCCCTCAATATTGAATCATATTTAGGAAAAGGAAATGTCTACTTTCGTCACTCATCTAAAACAAATCTCTGAACATGTGAAACATTGGTCTTCTTGCTATTATGATAACAGCCCCTGATTCATAGGTGACTCTCACATTTCATGAAGGACAAAAAGGTCAGTATGTTCCGAAGTATACACAGGAAGTGATTATGCTATAAAAAAGTTTATTCTACTCTTCCTAATTAAGTAATGACCAGCGTATCACATACGATACTTCTGAAAATGTTATTTTATGATGTGATATTTCAGTAACAGATGTTCTTGGAGGTATAAAATAACCATTATTTTATATCATGTTTATAAATATGTATTACAGTTCATCTTGGTTTTTACATGTTCATTCTGATGTGTATATACAAGATGTCCAGATGAAAGGTATCCAAAATAAAATAATTATATCTCAGAAAGCATTTATTATACACATTTATGGGTTACACCATTACAAAGGGAAACTATGAAAGTTTTTTCCTGAGTATATTACTTCTTGCGATGTGGAAATCAAATGGAAAAACTACCACATTATCATTTTATCTGGATAGTCTCTTTCCAAAAACAGACACACAATGTATGCGAACCAGAAGACGAGGAAGAAGATGTAAGAAGATGCTGGATGACCTTGGGGACAGAAGAGGATATTCTCATTTGAAGGAGAAAGGTCTAGATCGCATTAAGTGGAGGAACTGTTTTGGAAGAGACTGTGGACCTGTCGTCTGACAGATTACAGATGAATGAATAACTTTCTCAATAAATTTCAATGTGGGCTCTCTTGGTGGCATGAAAAATATCCAGACAATATTTGACCTTGTTTCACGTTGCTTGGAAGTATGTTTGGTGTTACCGTAACCATAGCGTCTATTATGCGGGCTTTCAGCTATTGAAGGTCATTGATCTTAACCTGGTAGACAGTAGTCTTCACATAACCCCAGAAGAAGAAAATTCAATGTAGTTAAAACTGGAATCAAGTGACTTTTATGACACTCCATGAATAAAGTCCTGCATTTGTTTCAAAGTGTAGGATTAATAAAGGTTTAATCCAAACGGGAAGCACAACAGATCATTGAAAGTCACAGTGCAATGGCCGGATTTTATGGCTCACCCCTCACATACATATACATACATAAATCTGGCGACCTAAGAGGACAAGTGATTGGTTCACCTCTGCCGATCCATCACCCATCCATCAATCTGTCCGGGTGATTTGTATAATGGTGGCAAAAATCTGGTGGTGCCCCATCTTGTTGGAGGATAGTTTGAGGTGGTAATTGGGGCAGGGCATACAGCTCCAGCATGTCCAAGTACAAACATCCAGTCACAATCTTTGCTGAAAGGAAAACGGTTCAATCAACTTGTTGTGCATTAAGCTGGCCCACACATTCACTTTTGGGCTGCCTCTCTCCAACAAACATGCGACATGTGGATTATGACTGCCCCAAATCCTGCAGTTGTACCTGTTTACAACTCCACTGACATGGAACGTCACCTCAACCAAGAAGTACACTTGGCAAAGGAAATTGGGTGATGCGTCAATTTCTAGCATGTCCAAAATGAAGTTTATGGGTGCTACATGGTCACTCAGTTTTAGTGCATTACTCATTTGAATTTTGTATGCTCTTAGGCGGAGCCTTTAGTGTAGCACATCGTGCACTGTTGAATGTGGAATTTGTAACCGCAAGCTACCAGCACATGTTGATTTGCACAAACCTCACTGGAATGCCTCTCTAATATGATTGACATTTTCTTTATAGGTTTGTGTCTTTCCAAGATATTTTACACGCAACAGACTACCTGTATTCCTCAGTTTGTTGTCGGAGAAACAAATGCTTTTCCATGTAGGAGGTTGAAATCCGTATTGTGTTCTGTTGGACAGCCATAAGAGACTGCAACTCTGCTAGCCACAACACGCATTTAAGCTGTACCTGTGGTGTTAAAATCTCTACTGAGCTCGCCAAAGGCCACCAGCTGGTACATGCGTGTATGCCGAGCATGGAAAAGAAAACTTTCATAGTTTTCCTTTCCAATGACATAAACTGGATATGTGTATGGTAATTAGTTTCCAAGATATAAATTATTTATTTTGGACACTTTTCATCCGGACACCCTGTATTTCAGTGAAGTGCATTTTAAACAATACATAATCTAAATTATTGACAAGATTGTTAAATAAACTAATTAATGTAAATTACTGTCATCATCATCAGCATCCATGAACACTGTGTGTCTATTACAAAATTTGTAACCAGGTCCACACGCAGAAAATTTGCCCACCCCTTGTTCAACTACTATAAGAAAATACTCTGCATAGCCAACTCCACAACTCCAGAAATAATAACAACAAAAAAGAAAGCCAATTAACAAAATTCACTTATCCACTGTGAGATTATGCTTCATGCAAATCTTTTATGTTTGCTACTTTCCAGTATTATTATTATTACTACTGGAGGGGGTGGGTTTTCCCCATGCACCACGACTAATAGTCTATTGTACGTCCCCCTTTGATATTCTACCAGTCGCCATACCCTGCCGGTACTGGTGCTCGCTATCAGCCCCGTTCAGCCAGCAAAGCTGGCAGTGGTTCCCGATACTTCCCCATCTACCGGAGGCATTGGAAACTACTTGGGCAGGAAAGTTTGCCTACTTTTGCTCAGAGGTCTCCTAGAGACATGAGGATCTTTTATGTGCCGTAAATCTAAGACATGGGACTACTTTCCAGTAACTCACTTGTGGTAGTGGGGGGAAAAAGATTGTGTTGATGGGAGATGGACAGAACTGGCTCAGGATTGCATCCAATAGTGGGTTCCAGTACTCGTAATGCTAAATAACTGGGTCATCTCACCAGCGTTAATTAATCATTCAGATATGTGATTGAAATTGACAGAATGAGAAATAAATGGTAAATGTTTTTCATGTCTTTAAAATTAAAGAGTCATCATTATATACCGTATTTACGCATGTATATACGCCGCAGCACAATTTTCAGACAGAAATTATAGAAAAAATAATTTTCTTGGAATATTATTTCAGGAGTAGAACACCCTGTATTACTAATTATGAATATAATTTTTTTTAAATGAAGTGTGATTTCGAATATTTCGAATATAAGCCGCACCCCAGTTTCCCTCTTGAATTTTTGGCAAAAAATGTGCGGCCTATACATGCGTAAATACGGTAAATAAGATGCAAGATGTGGTCCCATGTACCCTGGATGATAATCACTGATGTTTTGGAGGAACACGGTACCCTACTCTGAAGGCAGGGTCAGTACAGTCCTCCAAAATATAAGTAACTTATCTGCCACTCTGTCACATCCCAGATAACAGCAATCTTAAAACTAACTTAAATTAATTTAATAATATCTGTCCAAACCATACCAGAATAGGAGCCAGGCCAACTCCATCTGTACAGCGACAGACTACACACCAGGGTTCAATTCCTGGCAGGGGCAAAAGATTTTCCTCTATTCCACATTGTCCAGATTAGCTGAGGCCCACCCAGCCTCTTATCCAATGGGTACTGGGGGCTCCTTCTCTGGTGGTAAAGTGGCTGGGGCTTGAAGCTAACCAGCTATCAACTAACCTCCATCTAATGCCAAGGCCAAGAATGGTGGACCTGTACCTACACGCCCCCAAACATCTTCATGGTGTGGTGTTAATTAATTAAATTAGCACACGGACAAGTATACCTTTTACCTTCTACCATGCTGGGATGGGGGGGATGCACACGGTAGAATAGTTGGTTGAGGCGCTATGCTACAAGCCGGAAGGTCACGGATTGAAGTCCCAATGAGGTCATTGGAGTTTTTTCAATTGACCTAATCCTTCCAGCCGCAATATGGCCCTGGGGTCTACTCAGCCTCCAACAGAAATGAGTAAAAAAAGTAAGTAAAGCTATCCCTGTACCAGGCCGTGAAGGCCCATAGGGTTGTATGAGTACCCGGAATAGTCCTGGGGGTAAAGCGCGGCCAGCACGTAAGGCTGACAACCTTACCACCATCTTTTAGCTGATTGTCTAGATAATATGAGACCCTCAACGTCTCACAACCCTATGGGCCTTCACGGCCTGGTACAGGGATAGCTCTACCTTTACCTTGCTATGCTGGGATGGATCTCCCTTTATCATAATAAACAATTCCACTTTCTCTTCCAGTGGGGTGGTGTGACAGCTACTCAAATTCATATAATCTGGTTATCATGACAGGAAATGACATAGAAGGATGAGTTGGAATAATTAATGTTCAGCACATGACTGTTCATACACAGACCCAACATAGTAATGGGAATGTGATAAGCTTTAGTGTAGTAATATGCAGAGTTCTGTCTTCTGGGATGCAATGCCACGTTGTGTGATGACATTTATCAATGTTCCTCTGAAATGTTGGTAAACCAGCACTCTTCACAGTCATTGCCATGAGAACCTCAAATCTCACATAATAATAAGCATTTTCATGGAGACATGTTGCACAAATTACCTTGATAAAGACCTGAACATACCTTCCACTCTGTTGCTTTGGTCCATCCAGTAGAGGTGGCCTGTAATTAGCCAGTTTTACATTTAACTCTTGTCTCCTATTTAGGTCCTCCAAGCAGTTTCTAGTTTCGTTATATTCCCTGTAACGCACAAATACCATTCCCGTACTTTCTTTTCCAGAAAATCGAACAGATACAACACGTCCGTATCTTCCAAAAATTTCCAAAATCTTATTCTCATCATATGCTTTGTAGTTTCTGAAACAAACTGCAAACAGTCCATCTGCACCACGATGAATTTCTGTGCTCATCTGTAAAATAAGTAAAAACAAAACACCCTTATTTAGAACACACACAAATCATAGAACATTAAGACAATCCAGCACACCTTTGAATTATACCTGTGTACCAAATCTTGAGTGTTCCATCTTCGGTTACAATCCATGCAATAGTTATGGAAACTGTTACGAGACTGTCATGAAACAAATTAATGGCAAAGCATCACTGTGCATCAAACCAATTTTCAGATTTCTCTTTGGTAAGAATAAAGCAGGTTGTTTTATTGCCAATGGTTCATGCAACAGTAATTTGTCTTCACTTTACATTATGTTAGGAAAGTACACAACAAGGAGAATCAAAATCTGTATCCTTCATCAGATGTTACTAGGGTGATCAAATCAAGCACAATGAAACAGGGGAATAAGAAAATGTACACATAATTTTAGTTGAAAAAGCTGAAATAAATAGAATACTTTGGAGACCAAGGCATAGTGAGGGCATAATATTTAAATTGATCTTAAGGAGGGTATGTGGGTGTGGACTGGATTGAGGGATGCCATAGCTTGGGCAGTTAATTGCCAGATTCTCACTGTAGCAGACACAGTTTGGTCACAGGGCATAATGGGCAAAATGGCAGGTTTTCTCAAAGTATTTCATTTTTTCTACCGATTCTCATTACACCAACAGCTCCATACGCATTCATTATCTGGGGCTGGTACAACGGGCCGAAGAACGGGGTGCATATTAAGTACACTCTTACACCACTCTACAAACTAAAAAAACGAACACTACTGGTGTATGTCGCCATTTTATTCACTTATTCGCCATGGTTTCGAAAATAATACACTCTGAAACACCAAACAAGTTTCGTGGGCATTCTGCATTTAGAATTATTTAAGAAATTAAAAATTCTACCTCTTCAATCGCAATACATATTATCGCTTCTCTTATTTGTTGTTTACAACAAAGATAAATTCAAATTAAATTCTGATGTCTATAACATGAATACTAGACAAAAATATAACTTCCACCTACCCTCATCAACTTTATCAGTATATCAAAAAGGAGTCTACTTTACTGGCATAAAAGTGTTCAACAATCTGCCACAAAGTATTAAAAACTTGGGCAATGATACTAAAAAGTTTAAATCAGAGTTAAAGAATTATCTACATGCTCATTCCTTCTACTCTTTAGATGAATATTTCAATGTCAATAGAGAATGATGTAAAATTAAGTTATATTAATTTTTAAGCTAAAAATTGCCTGTACTTATGTATGTAACCTTTTGACTTATTCTGTATCCAAAGGTACTAACCTGCTTAGGATTTATAGAATGTAAATAAATTCAATTCAATTCAATTAAAAAAAGATGGGAACTTGCAACGAAAGTTGGCTTATGTTTATTCTACACAAATTTGGTTTACATAACCTCATTTTGGAAAATGTTCAGTCTCCATCCTTCGAGATACTTAACGACAAATGAATTTGTATATCCCCCAATATATTTTTATTGAAAAAAATCGTAGTGTCTTGTATCTCATCCTTTCTGCTTATATAACTTTCATAGCATCCACAGATAATATTACCTTCTAACAGGTTCAACTCATGTTGCCTCAGCACGAATACCCTCAAACGTTATATGCTATCCTAGCACTAGCAGAACAAGTAATTAGTAAACAAACTTCAGTACGTACGGAAGTAACTTCGTACGCCAATTTTACGAAAATACTAACCTGGAAATACTGTAAAGGATGTGTGAAAGGGGTCCAACAATTCTAAACAAATTATTATCTCGTTATTCGCAACTTCACACGAGAAATAAATACAACAATACAACCTCTAAAGGACAATTCTCAATCAGTGAACTTAAACCAGACAGAACTGTAAAATGACAAATAATGACACGACAAAAAAACACGTTAATAAAGGCACACACGGAGAAAACACAACTGTATTTATACATCCAAACCTCTATACAACACACATATAACCTTGGTACATACGCCAAAATTGTAACAAGTACCACCTGTTACCACGAGGAGCGCTGCCATCGAATGATCCATTGAACACGGAGAACACGGAGAAGCACTTCAAGTTGGGATAAGGTGGGACAGGTGTCTCTACTGCTGTGAGCAGTAGCAGCTTCAAGCATGATGGAGAGAATGCTGAAGCGAGTTGGGCTGCAAAGCAGTAAAAAAGTGCCTGACAATGAAAAACAGCAACCTTTAGAGAGTGAGGCAGCAGCTTGCAGTAACAGTGTGGTTAAAGATGGTGTCGCGAATGACAGAAAAAGTCCGGGAAGTGGTGAATTACAGTGGTGCGATTTATTGAGTTTCAGGAACGTGTGCGCGGTCGGGACAGCTGACAGCAGCAGCGGTTGTTCGGAGAGTAATATCGGGAATCAGCTGGGAAATGACGACTCCGTGGTACGCCGTTCCAGGCGTTCCCGTGTGTTTAATTTTCATTATTTAGATTTACATATAATGGAATTCAAACCGCGAGCAATTACAAGGCGTTTATGTGGCGGCAGGAAACCAGACAACGAATTGTATCGGAGTAACAGCTTCAAATTCGAACGATTTGAAAGGATTGACGACGCAAGTTCTCTTCAGAAACAGGTATGCAAAATTGTCTCATAATATTTCGTATGCTTAGACCTAAATATGTATTATATTATATGAACCTGGTATTACTATTAGTTGGCAGGAAGCGTGTCAGACCGCCAAACTTTGTGTTCTTGCGTTTTCTGCGTACACTTAAATTATGCCCCATTTGATTGATCGATGTTTCGACGTAGCTACACAAGATGATTACAGTCTCTCTGGGATGTGAAGCCGTGTTGTTAGATAGGTATTAGCATTTCGGAGGAACCTGCTGTTTTACATCATCACAGTGGGTCACTTTTCTACCCTTGAGATGGACTCAGAAGGCTCCTATGACATACTGGTTCCTATCTACCAGACCACAAAGCGTCATATCACAGATGACCATAATCTTCATATTCACCGTTGTGAGAACCTAAAATCTCACATAATTGCACATGTTTGTGTTTGTTGATTTATGAGATTGGGTTTATTACTATTGCTTCTTGTTCGTCCACATGAAGATATATAGTTTAATGGGTTAGAGACTCTCAAACAGCATGGCTATTCACTCCTAACATGAAAGGATTAATTGCAGTTCATTTCGTATTTGTGATCTCTTTTGATAATTAAGATGCCTGTAATTACTGTTCATTTTGACACAAAGCGGCAACACGAATTTCAGTCTTGTGAGACAGTCTATGCTATTGTTTCTTAACCAGCGAACCACTGACCTGTTCTTCTGTTTCTTTGTTGGACATTGTTGCTTTGTTCACATAGTTCATATTTTATTTGTTGGTTACATATTACAGTATATTTAATTTTGACATTCTGTGTATCACGCCTATATATTACGTCGTGTATTATTCGCAAATTTGCTTGTTCAACGGGAAACCGTAAAAACTAAAAGCGTTTTTCTTTGTAACCACAAAATGCCGGCTCAGAAATGTAGCCACAAACTTAAGGACAAAGGATGCGATAATGTGCTGCCTGGTCAGGACTGTTGCACATCCCAAGGGGGCAGTGACAAGTGAATGCAGAGCACTGGTGGAATTATAATTGGTGGGGGAAAACAGAAAGAAGTAGCAAAACTTGCTTCATTGTTACTCGTACTTAATTCACCGTTGTCACCCGGGATTGAACGCGGATCTCGACAGTGAGAATTCAGCGGTAAACCATCAGAGCTACGGCACAGCCCCAGAGAGAAAGCCAGCTAACCAACCAACTAACATAAACACAGCGAAGACCTGATATGCCGTGAGATAGCTTGCCGCCACGTGGTTTGCAAAATGCTGCGTGCACACTGCACTGAAACTCTCTGCAGTAGGAATCAAATAAGGGTGAAGGTCAGACTTTACTTCTGCAAGGTCGGCAAGGGCATCTAATTGGGCTAACTGGCAGTTTTGTTATACGTTTCCTGCACGATCGCATATACGCGTTTGTACCTGGTATGCTTATCTTTAACATAAGACGAAGCTGCTGTTCGTAATTCAGCAGACCTGTAATATGTGCTACACGGTTCGTGCTGTGCAATCCCCCATCCTAAGTGTTCACATCCGACTACTTGTTGAGGGGGTGATAACTGGTACAGTACTGCGCAAGCAGTGATTGTTCGTGGAGATCTGTCACGGCGCAGTTATCTTTGCGCAGGGCCATAACCCCATCCATTTTGGTTCTTATTTAAAGAAATCTACTTCTCTTTGAGTATGTTTATAGTAATACATATATGTACAAACTGTTTTCGAAACGTTATGTTTAATTGTTAGTACAGCTAATGAAACGTCTTTAAATGAACCGAGAAATAATAATAATAATAATTAATAATTTATTATTATCGTGTGTCTTGTTTCTTTTTCTTTACTTGTGCTCCTTTTGTAATTGGCCTTAGACCTGTTAAGTTTACAAGTAAATAATTGAATTTAATTTAATTGAATGATGATCATCTTCATAATAGAAAGTCATGGCATTCATGCTTCGAATTCTGGAGGTCCCGAGTTCAAATCTCAACACAGTTGCCGCTTATCATGACAGGTTTTCCTGATTTTATTCGGTTCTTCCCAGCAAATGCCAGGATAATACATCAGACTGCGCCACGATTGCTTGTCTCCACGCCCTTCCCAATTTTAATCATCCGAATTTTCGGCACTAGATAATGCGTGTTACTGACAGCGTCGAGAAAAGCTAGAAATAAATGATTCATTCCAATGACTCATTTGTACCCCATTCTTGACCCTACCGGGATTCGGAACTCTGACCCCTCTCTCCAGCTCCTAGTCAGTAATTATACCGACTACGCTACCCCGGCTTCTGTTTAATATGATATCAAATGCATTTACTGCAAGATATAAATGATTGAAAGTTACAAAATTTCGTTTTTTAATATTCCGAAATATTAATATATCCATTTTCGTCAGTAAGATTAATCTGTAAACTAGTGGCTCTGAACTGTTGACACGGGAAATGTTAAAATTTAAGTAATTTGTTATTACGTTGTTTTCCGAATTTAAAAATGATTGGAATGTTCGGACTTACAACTGGCTTTATCTTCTGCTTATCAGCGGGCGGTTAGAACTTCGTATTCCAAGGTTTGAGGCGTGCTTTATAGACTAGTCTTTGATAAGAGCTTGATAAGATATACAACTTGGTCTTGATCTAACCCATGTCGACAGTCTTCGTTTTTTTTTTTACTTGTGTTTGTTGTTTTCAGTCTGCCTGTTATATTTCTGTTTAGTAACCGCGTCTGTGGTCTAGTGGTCAGAGTTCCTGGCTACAGATCCATCGGTCAGGGTTCGATTCCCGGATCTACCAAATTTTCTCAGAAGTAGTGGGAGCCTCGACAGGATAATTGAGGAGCTATTTCAAGGAAATAGTGGCTCCGGTCTAGAAAACCGAGATTAACGGCGGTGGGGATCTGTTGTGCTGACCACGTGACACCCTCCATCCGCAAAAGTTGGCACTAACTTCGCTGACAAGCAGCGGTTGCTCGGTCGGTATAGTTCACTTGCGGACTACAGACCACGGAGTTTGTTTTTTTTATTATAGTTCTTTGACGTTTACCTGTATGTACCTGCTGTTATTTGTGGCGGATAAGAAACACGTTTTTGCTACAAAAGTGGCCAGAAATACTTCGGCGGTACCACATCTTCGCTTAACAACATGAAAGGAAATGGCGTAATGAGTTTCGCATTGAAGAATGTCACGTTGCTGACACATTGAAGAACGTATACCTTGCCTAGCGCTCTGTTGTGCTGAATGTTAATGATATACATTGATAATGAGAGGATTTATCGTTAGGCACTGTTTGGAAATGAAAATATCAAGAGAAATAAACAGAATTGAAAAGTGAATGTGATCCTGTCACTTTCTTCTGTGTGATGTGGAGTTTTAATAGCTGAATTTCAGTTTCTTTATTTAATGAGACCACAGATTCTCCTCTAGTTAAGATATGCAATGGAAAGGCAGATGAAGTGGACATTCTTACCATTAGAAAGTTCTGATCGTGATGGACTGGTTTCTCAACGCTCACAGCCGGTTACTTTTAGAATATAGACTTAACGTTTAAGAACGACACCTTGCATGTGTTTGATGGAAGTCACCGATCCCTCTGATGTTAAGACCTCTGGTTCTATCGGTATAACAAGTAGGTTACAGGCTGAACGACCGAATAATCGGTGTTCGAGTCCCGGCAGGAACAGAAGACAGTCCGTATCGCCTCTGGAGCTCATCCAGCCCATGCAGTGAGTACCATAGGCGTTTACCAAGCGGATGAAATGGCCGGGGGGGGGGGCGAAGCTGACGACACACCCCCATCTAGTATTGAGCTAAATTGCGTGGAGATATATTACCACTCCCCCATACGTCCTCATGGCATGGTGTTTAATTAAGCGCAATGATAACTTTAGCAGTTATGCTACAAGGTGAACGTATACATTTCATCTGCAATACTACTTACATGATTTTAGAAGGGCCGCGCCCATAGCTCAAGCGGTTAGTCGCTGGCTTCCCACCGCGGCGGCCCGGGTTCGATCTCGGGTCTGGTCAAGTGGGATTTGTGGTGGACAAAGTGGCGTTGGGGCAGGTTTTCTCCAAGTACTTCGGTTTCCCCTGCCAATCTTCATTCCACCAATTGCTCCACAATCACCCTCACCTATCATCTGGGGCTGGTACAATAGGCCAGAAGTGGCCGCAGTACAAGGGACTTAGTCCCACCCCACTAGCAATGAAAAAATACACGATTTAGATGAAATTTGGTATTGTAAATTTACACCAAAACTACGTGGGTTGAGGGTCTCGCTGCGATTACTATGAAGATTATTATCTTGTGGGATGTTGTGCCATTTAGTTTCATAGATATTTACCAACGTTTCGGAGGAACCAACTCCATCTTAAGCATAGAAGAGTAATATAATCTGAAGATGGATGCAGCAAGTTCATCCGTAACTTTTTAACATTCTACCAGGCTACACGGCGTCTCGTAGCCGTAATCTACACCGAAGTATGTTCGAAGAATTTAATTTTACTTCGTGTCAGAAAAATATAAGACTAACTTTACACGAATGTAGGATTTGAAGTAACCAGCAAACAGAGCTCTGCTTGCCGCCTGATTTCGCCCAGATGTCGCGATGATTCTGGCTTAAATTATTCTTCTACCCTGATGGTGGGGGCGACATGTTCCTCCGAAATATCTGTTGACTTTCAACATGGCGTTATACCCAAAAGATAGATCTCTTCAAATGATGTTCGTAATTTATTCTGAGAATCGTACAAAAACATAAATAAACCGTGTTAGCAGAATGCGGAGTTCCTTTAGTGTTACGGCAAGTGGTACATATAGTTCAACACGCTTTGAATGGTTACTTACTGACTCATGGAACTGAGCCCTTCTTGAGGAGCCACCAATTCTGCAGCTACTCAAGAATTTCCCAACATTTTATGGAACCCAAAGGTTCATTACCGTGTTCACAAGAACCCTCCGCTGGTCCCTACCCTGAGCCTGATCAATCCAATCCATACCATCCCATCCTATCTCTGTAAGC